TTGATTCTGGCTGCTGGCCATTTTCGTTCATGAAATCGTCGGATATCATCAGAAAACGCGGGATTTGTGCAGTTTTGAATAAAACCAAGTTAGCGATTATGAACAATGGTTATTAACGTAACACCTGACTCCCTCTAAAATTTGTGTTTCGCATTTTAAGGTAAGAAATCGACATTTGAAACCGACAGGGTGTCGATTTACTAGGTGCCGTGTTTCACAACTTGTTTATTTATATACGTATAGCGGATGATTTTTTTTGAAAATTAGTATTTATTGATTTTCAGCCCCCAAGTGACTGTGGTTTTTGGTAAATATTTATGCTTCTTAATCACCTAATTAACATAATTAATTAATACTGATATCTCAAGTATTGAATAAAACTTGGTACATAAATGCTCTAGGACAATAGACAGCCTGATTAATTTTAGGTTAAAATCTGTTCATATTAATTCTCTAATTAGCATAATAATTAATAATTATTATATAAATATAATTATTTTTTTGGTTCTAATCACATTTCAATGAAACTTGGTACATTGTGCAGACCTTTAGTTTTACACTTAAATCTGTTCATATTAGTTACCTTATTTACATAATTAGTTTTCAGCTATTCCATCAATATCTCAAGTATAAGTAATTTTGAATTAATTTTTAATGTGTCTCCAAAACTCTCAGCACACGGGAGTTCTTTCTAAGCTTTCTTTGATTTTGATATGTACTTCCACAACAGAAAATACAAGTTGAATTTCTTAATCATTAAACATTCTATATCATTCCATTCTATATCATCAGATATCATTACCAACCTTACCATACTAACATATATCCATTCTATACCATCAGATATCATTACCAACCTTACCATACTAACATATATCCATTCTATATCATCAGATATCATTACAAACCTTACCATACTAACATATATCCATTCTATATCATCAGATATCATTACCAACCTTACCATACTAACATATATCCATTCTATATCATCAGATATCGTTACAAACCTTACCATACTAAAATATAAGGTTATTACAAGGATACTGTAAATCATTCTATACTGCTAGAGTGTATACTTGCACCTCAGATTTTACTGACCTCAGCCCTATAAGTGATCCTTGATACCTGTTAACATACTCATAACTACCAGATATCATTATCAACCTTGATAAACGAACCAACCAACCATTCTATACTAACAATGATTATGCAAACAACAAATATTTATGTGTGGTTGATGAATTTTGCACATAAGCTGTAAAATAATTCATCACAAACTGTTGCCATGGTAATGAAATCTTGGATTGAAAGAACTTGTATCATGCTATATAACATATATTTTTCATATAATGATGTATTTTTGATTTGTTATTAGGGATAATGTCAAAACTTGGATTGGCTCTGTGCTTCTATAGTATTTTATAACATCATATTTCAATGTTCCATCTTCCTAAACAAATGAATAAATCAATTTGTAGTATATCTTAAGTTATTATATAGGAAATCATTTCACAGATTGCGTAAAAGATGTTTTATAATGTTAGTTCATAACTCATTTCAGTTCATAACTCATTTCAGTTCATTTGGTGAATGAGGTCACTCATTGGAGATACATTTTATTATTGTCTTAACCCAAAAACATTATTTGCACTAAAATACTTCCTATCAGTCAATGCATGACTATTGACATCATAACATAAATAATACAGATGATATAACATAATTGATATTACACTATTCATAATTTCTGTCACTTATTAAGTGACTTTTGTGTAAAAAACACTTTATTTTAATGGTTGATATCATTCTAACTCTAACTAATTTCTTATGATTTTCTTTTGTATTAGACTTTATTGGAAGATCATTTTAAGTTGTTATTATACACAGATTATGATTTAGTTGTTATTGTTTAATTTGTAGAGAATACCTTAACATTTGTGCTGTGTTAATCTGGCTTTAAACTTTTACGACCAGGACATCATTTTATGCTATGCCACTGGTTTTTTGGTTGCTATGTTACTGGTTCTCTGGTTGCTATGTTACTGGTTCTCTGGTTGCTATGTTACTGGTTTTCAGGTTGTTATGTTACTGGTATTCTGGTTACTATGTTACTGGTTTTCTGGTTGCTATGTTACTGGTTTTCAGGTTGTTATGTTACTGGTTTTCTGGTTGCTATGTTACTGGTTCTCTGGTTGCTATGTTACTGGTTCTCTGGTTGCTATGTTACTGGTTCTCTGGTTGCTATGTTACAGGTTCTCTGGTTGCTATGCCACTGTTTCTCTGATTGCTATGTTACTGGTTTTCAGGTTATGTTACTGGTTTTCAGGTTGTTATGTTACTGGTATTCTGGTTACTATGTTACTGGTTTTCTGGTAGCTATGTTACTGGTTCTCTGGTAGCTATGTTACTGGTTCTCTGGTTGCTATGTTACTGGTTCTCTGGTTGCTATGTTACTGGTTTTCTGGTTGCTATGTTACTGATTTTCTGGCTGCTATGCTACTGGTTCTCTGGTTGCTATGTTACTGGTTCTTTGGTTGCTATGTTACTGGTTCTCTGGTCGTCAGAGTTTGTCTGAATCAAGTAGCAACAGTTAATCCAATCAATCAATTAATCAATCATCTGACAACCACTTTTGTTCAAAGAAACTTTTGAAAATCATAAGATAATTTTCTGACTATTTAATTGGCTGAGATAATTTTTGAATGTATCTAATTTCCTTATTGTATTCAAACGCATGCTGCTATTATTTTTAATAAAGATACACACATTTTTAAGATATCCATAACCATTTGTATTCTCAGTGTATGGGCACTTATCATTTGCACTGTTTATCTGTTTTGTTTGTTTTGTTTTGTTTGTTTGTTTGTTTGTTTCACTTTCAGTTTTTACTCTTATACTGTACTGTATTTGTTCTGTCAGTATAACATCACTATACAAGTGTAAAACATGGACACATTGAAAATAAACATTTAGAGCATAACTCCTGCAATTTCCAAATCTAATAAATACTTCATATATAATAATCTCACATGACATCATTAAACAACATTCTGCCAAA